ATTTCTCTAATTTTTTTAAAACCCAAAACTAGTTGCCATTAGATAGAGGAGTCTATTAGATTATATGGAATATTCAGTTTAGGTGGCATAGAGACAAATGTCAAACATTCTCTGGACATGTGGAAGTTATAAACGAGATGTATAAATCAGACTTGGGCTCCCTTTGTCAAGGGTTAAACGGGGTGGCTATTTTAGTCACAAAAGACAAAATAAGTTATTTTAGTCACAAAAAATAAAATATGACATCTAACCCATAATCATTATATTCTTCGCTCACAAAAAAAGTTTAAAAAGTTAAAAAGTCAAAAAGTCCTTCTCAAACCAAACTTTTTAGTCCATGCTAAAATAGTCAAAAAAGTCAAAAAGTCAAAAAGCCAACCCACTTCCCAAACGGAGGCTTGATCTACCAAATCACTCAAGACTTATATGAATTAGAATTTTGGATGCATCTCACTTAAAATTAGTTTGTATTAAGCAAAGGTCTTTAAATTTTATGAACCGGGTTTGGATAATTTAGAAAGATATTTTAAAATAAGATATTGAATTGTGAATTTTATGGATCGAGTTTGGATAATTTAGAAAGATGTTTTAAAATAAGATATTGAATTGTGAAGGAAAATAAATGATCATAATTTTTTTTTTTTTTTATTTTAGTCTTAAGTCTAAGATGCAAATACAACCTAAATGACATATTTGCCCAACTTTAAATGTAAAGAAGAACAAGATTAACTTTGACTCCATAATGAGTTAAAACTCTCATTTGTTTTTTCTTTATACAATGACCTTGTTTGGGATTAAAATAGTTTCAAATATTAAAAAAATCAAATAGTTTCAAACATTAGCCTAAACTGCTGACCTATATTAAAAAAAATAAAAATAATAAAAAAGAAAGTGTGGGTAGGGACAACCTACCAGTGTCACTTTGATAGCCTATCCCACAGGTAATAAATGACAATTTTGCTCCTTTAAATCAATTTTAAAAAAAATAAGGTTAGGGACAAATTTATCATTTTAATTTCAAACATTATTTCAAACACATTTTTCAATATAACAATCAACCAAAAAATTCAACCCAACTTCCCAAACATAAAAATTAAAATAGCCTACTAAAATAGTCAAATAGCCAAAAAGCCAAAAAAGTAGCCACTTCCCCAACAAGGTCATGTTTCTAAACTCTGTTTGGTTTTAAAGTTTAAAAAAGGGAAAATTATCGGAAAGTCCTATATAGATGAATTATGTCCCGCTTGGTCCCGCTGATTTTCTGTTTGATTGACTAGTCCATATGAGACAGGATTCATGACTGATAAGTCCTTTTTTGAATGTTGTTGGTGCATATTGGACGGATATGCCCTCATACATTATATGGAGATGTTCTGTTGTTATATTTGGTATGTGTAATCCCAAGATTTGTGCGGCGGACAGTGGTGAAGATTCATTTATGAGAATTCCAATTAGGGTTTTCATTCTGAGATCATTCGTTTGGTGTAACAATCAGGAAGTGCAATAGTTAATGGCAACACCACCGTCACACACAGGTACATTCGACACTTGGTATTACACAGTCCTCTCCCAACATTAACACACATTCATCCCACCGCACAAATCAATGATGTTGTTCACACCCCACTAGTGGAACAAAACTGAACAACCATTCGTTGCCCAATTACAACTCCCAAAATCATGTGTTCCGGGCAGATATGCCCTCTCAACAGCACATACTCAACGATGCGCAATCATTGCTTGTTGCATTCCCGACTGATGGATTGCAGTTGTATTGTAATAACCCGACCCTCGTGTCTGTTTCTGAAATATTTTCGATCCCTTATTCTGGGCATTTATATGCTTACGGTAAAATGTTATGTGGAATTGAATTTAATTAAGTGAGTTATATGAATACGGACCTATATCTGTTTAGCAGGGATGATGTCTGTCACAATTATAGTGTTCGACTCAGAAATTGAGAGCCTTAGAGGCTTGATAATCCGACATTGAGTTCACATTTGAGATTAGCATAATTTTTAGGTTATAATAAGCATTTTTGTAGAAATTTGATTTGGATTGATTAAACGATTAAATTTTGTCCTATTCACCTTATATATTTATACAAGCCCTTTGATCTTTTGACATGGAGGAACTTTTAACTCAAAAACAAAATATCTCTTGAGTGAGATTGGGAGAGGAAAGTCAGAGAGGAAGAGGGGAAATTCTTCAAGGGAGAGTTTAAGAGATTTAGAAGATTTAGAGGAATTCAACTCAAGGTATGTAAGAATTACTTTACATAAGATCTTTCTTGGACATGGGTAAGGATTTTCTTTGAATTGAGAGGGCTAAGGTTTTGATTGAAGTTTCATATGTGATGTTTACTTAATTGAAGATTTGTGTTTATTATTTGATTTGTGGTTGGTTGATTTGAGTTAAGTAGGGGAGATTATGCTTTAATCTTTGGTTTCTAAGTTGAATTTTCATGGTTGTATATATATATTGTTGTATTAATGGTAGTCAACATGGAAGAAGTGAGTTGTTGTTGATTATGCTTGTAAATTTAAGGGATCAAGGATCTAACCAAGATGTGAATAATCTTTATGCAAGTTTGAGCCATATGTTTGTATTGAGTTTGCTTAATTTTGAGCCTTGCAAGTACTCTCAAAGAATTGGGTTTTGTTGGAAAAATTCGGACCACACTGCTGGAATCGCCGCACGTGCGGGGATAACTGCCGCACGTGTGGGAAGCCATGCCGCATGTGCAGGGCTCACAGCCGCACGTGCGGCCTATGTTGCAAAAATTCGTTTGCTCGGTTTTACGTGCTTAACCCTCTGGTATTTTTAGAATTTGTGTTTGATGCCCTTAAGATGCTTATAAATTCATTCGAAGTGATATGAAGCAGGAAACGAATTTAGAAAGAAAAGGAATTAATGTCTAAGTTGTGTACATGTGTAGGGCCTAACCCGGGAAGGACAAGCACGCCGTTACAGCACTGTGAGTAATAGTACCTCAAACGTCTATTATTTTCCGTTAAAAATTATTGTTATTGACATTTTCTTCTCCTTGAGCAATTATGTTACCATGTGTGTTGGTTGGGAATCGATGTGAGCATCGAAAGAATTAGCACACAACAACATGACTCTGAAACCATTCTGCATTCCGACTACGGTTAACGTTTATCGGTACTGTGCTATAACTTCTAATTACCTATGATTTCGCATAAGAACTGCACTCATGAAAGTAAACCCCGTTTATTGGGAACTTGATATTATCTTCTGTTTGAGTTAATATATGTTTTATGACATAGAGATCTGCTTAAAGAGATGAAAGGGCGTTACTAATGTTTTGTTATCCGTAAATTAATCTTAAGAACACACGATAACCAAATGGAATAATGATGCTTGGGTACTTCGAATCATTTTGTTTGGTCAATGATGAATCAAGACTATTATGAGGTAAATTGTTCTGTCCCTACAAATAGTATTGTGATGGCACATGTACAATTTGTGGGATACGCTATACTTATTGCTAACAATTGTCATTAGTATTCTGCTAAACGTAAACTAATTACGTTAACTTATGTAAATGATTGAAAGAATCTATGTGCCTCTATATAACTTTGAGACTAGTCAGTTCTGATGATATCTGAAGTTATTCTGCTTTGTGGTTTGTCCCGAAATTTATTGATTTATGGTATGGAACTATGGTATCTACGTATTTCTAGAAGTGTTCAATCTGTGGAATATGTTCATCTTTTGCTAACAATTATCAGCGACGTTCGGTTAAACTTATATTATCTATATTAATTCATGTGAATAATGGGAAGAATGTGTATATTTTCTGTATGATTCTGAAGTTAATTTGTTCTGATGTTTTTTTGGTATGGAACAAAGTGCTGTATGGAACTAAGTGCTATACTTTGGTGGGAGCCACCTCTAGAATCCGTGCGAGCCACCTCTTGAGTCCATACATATATTATTTCTAGGCCTATGGTCGTTCTGTTATTTCTGGGCCTATGGCCGTTCTGTTATTTCTAGGCCGAAGGCCATTCTGTTATTTCTGGACCTATGGCCGTTCTGTTATTTCTGGGCCTATGGCCGTTCTATTATTTCTGGGCCTACGGCCGTTCTGTATCTATAGGCCTATGGCTGTTCTGTACATACTGGGCTTAAAGCCATTTTGTTAAGAAAACTGGACCCATGGCTGTTTTGGAAATAATTACAGAATGTAGTTAATTATATGCTTCTACAGTTATATAATTTGTTTTTCAAGTTGAACATTACATTATTTATGTACTATTATTCACTAAGTTTCGCTCATTCTGTATTCTGTCTGTTTCTGTAGGTAATCAACCGGGAGTTCTGTAGGTAATCAACCGGGAGTCCAGTCCTAACCCTTAAGGCTCGTCTCCCTTTTGTCAACTTCGATGTGTCTAGGCACTAACTGAAGCCCGTGCATTTTGTAAAGTGTTATTAGATTATTGGCTTATGCTTTGGTTGTCTTTCATTAATATTTTCGTTATACGCCCAATTGTGGGCCTGAGTCGAGGTATATGTATGCAAGTTTCCTGCATATTATTTACTTAGTGTGATGTTGTGATCCTGGTATAATAGTAGTAGCTCAATGGAATCGATTTGTTTTGTTATCAAGTGCTTCCGTTCAGGCCCCATATGTTACATATATCGGTTTTGTGTCCGTTTCGGAAGAGGTCATGCCCAAAACTTTTAGAGGCGGTTTTGGGGTGTGACATGTATTCATATCGTAATTATTTCATTTCGTTATCACGGATCAT